CTCCATCAAATTTTCATTGTTTTTTTCAAGTCCAAGCAAATCAAAATTAAAATTCTAATGTCTGACAAAAGCCATTATGCCAACCATTCAAAAACAAAGAATGGCACTATTGAATTCTACAGTGAGAATGGCTTGTAGTGCAATTCTGCAACGAACACACAGGTGAACACAACATACACTTGTACATGCAGATAGAATACAGACTGATAATAAATATTTAAAATGTCCAAGAATTAAGAAAGTTTTTTTTTTTCTTTTTTTTTTCCTTGGCGTATGTTTTCATCTGACAAATAATAATCAGAGGTTGTGATTTTTCGTCTTGTAAGTCAAAATTCCTCGCTAGAATTCAGAATCATTAGCAGGAGCCCTTTGAGAGTTTGTTTAGTATCCATTTACTGTAGGAAGAGACGCGGGTGTACACGGCAGGAACATCTGTCGAACAGTCCTCTGGCCCAAAACTTGTTACTCCGAGCTGCGGAACGAACTCTATTTCATCTGTTGTGATCAAAGGTACTATTCTATTGTCATACCTTATTGGTCTCACAACTTACATATTTACAGTAATACCACACCAAACGAACCATTATCCCCTGCATTCTCAGCTCACCTAATAGAACGAAACCGAGACATAAAACACAGAACGCATTAACTCACCAACAGCCAAAGTCCGTTTTCTTTCGTCATCAAAGGTCCCCCGGAATCGCCCCTGCAAGCGATCTGTCCAGGGTCGGCAGCGCAAATCTTCAGGAGTGGGAAAATATTAACTCAGATTTCTCCAAGATTTATAAAGTAGCGTGCCTGATGTTGCAGCTCTCACTGGAATTTCCTTCTGTGTAATTACGATAGTTACTTACATGTTTATCAGTAACAGGGAAGTTTGAGAAAGCGTGAGCGCTTTTACACTCCCCATGATCGAACACAGTGACCCCCGCTTCCTGGAGTTCGTCCGGAGGTGTCAAATCCACTTAAAAAAAAGAAAAAAATAAAGCAATAAGCAATAAGGACAGTACTAATGGCTTATACCTGTCGTAGAACCACACATACCCTGAAAAACAATACTTTTTATTTAGTTGGTAACGTAACTAGAAACAGTTTCATATACATCGTAGGCGTTTATGAGAACGAATTTTTGGCAGTTTCTTCAACGGACAGCATAAAAAAAAAATAATGGAACATAAAAGTTATCTTTCAAAAAATAAATATCAAGCACATAACTTCAAAAACCTAAGAAGCCTTCACATCAACTCCATACTCACGGTTGTCCAACAAGCCCCATCCTACAATGACTGCCTCGCTATTTCCGAAGGTCTTATCAGGCGGCAGGCAAATGGGTCCCACGTTGTCGGTCCATTCGAGAGGCGACTGCAGCGTGATTACAGCTATGTCGTTGGCCTGAGACGACAATTTAGTCCTGTGATGTTATTAGTGTTCCCTTATATCGGTCCGTTTGCGTGTCATATCCGTTACATGCGGATATTTTGACCTTGTGTCTTGTGTCACCGTCACCGCAGTGATTCTATTCCACCCCCACAGCCACGACCCCCCATCCCTACAGCCACCAAACCTCGTCTCTCACACCCACCATACCCCATACCCCACCTCCCACAGCAACCATACCCCACTCCCCGTAGACATGTACATACCGAAGTCGTGGCATCGAACTTCGGGTGCATAGCGACTTTCTTGGCACCAATGGTTTGCGTTATGCCTTCATCTTCAGTTTCTACGTTGTGTTCGCCCGCCACGACCGTTACCTCAGGAGCCCTTGTGATTTGAGGGGAAATTTTAGTGTCCATTATGAGGTCGTGCTTTACAGTTACACAATTAGATAGATAGGTAGGTAGATGGATAGACAGATTGACTGATTGAAAGACATACATGCATATGACATACCTTCCCATACACACATCTGGGACTGCGTATGACGATTTTTATGATAGCGTAGTGGGCCGGTTGAACGTGATACTAAAAATCTTACCTATAATCGACACAGTGGGCTGCCGTTATGATATGGAGTGACGTGATGATGGACCCACCGCAGAGGTAGGTTAAGAAACCGACCCTGATAGACAGACGAACCATCCAAGGGTATTCTCCGGGTTGCGAAGCTTGTCCGCCCACAATCTTTGTCGCCCCAGCGCTCTTCGGAGCCTTCCCACACACTGGAAATTTGATGAATAATGAGGAATTTTACTCCTTGATGAAAAAGAGAAAAACAGGAAATTGGTTCCATGTCTGAGTTTTGTGCAATATCAATTATCAAATGAACCCAGTTCAGAAATCAGTATAATGGAGGTTAATGACTACACAATGTATGAAGTTTACCTCACAAGCATACTCATTTACTGATGAAAGAATAGCAAGAACGGGCCCGCTTTCTATCTATCTATATGCATTTCGCAATACATTCTGTACAATCAGCATCATCCGCATTAGAAAAAAAAAGTTGAATGACGAACAGGTCTACCTACCTTGCTTACATCCAGAGGCCTGTGTTCCACCGCTACTTCCTCCTCCTCCTCCTCCTCCTCCTCCTCCAGAAACTGTGGGGAGTTTGGTTCAGTTAATACTTAATGCTGTATAACTTATCATGAGAACGAAACGTTATTTTTGCCTCAATCTTCCTCGCTTTATTTCCGATCTCTTCCTCTCCCTCTTCTTCCTTTTCTTTTTTTTTCTTCCCTTTTTTCCCCTCTTACTTGTCACCTTTCTCCCCCTCCCCCATTTTCTCTCTGATATATTCACACTTTATTTCTCTCTTTCTCCCCTTATCCTTTTTCCAAAGTAAATGTCAACATCGAGACTCACCCTTCACACCTCTGACGACACACAAGATATTTGTCCTGTCAGTGACTTCGCTGACTTTTTGATACGTAAGACGCACAGTCTCTAGCCCCTTTCGCTTATCAGGGCCTTCGTTATTACAAAACCTGGAGAGAGAGAGAGAGAGAGAGAGAGAGAGAGAGAGAGAGAGAGAGAGAGAGAGAGAGAGAGAGAGAGAGAGAGAGAGAGAGAGAGAGGAGAGAGAGAGAGAGAGAGAGAACACTGAGTACTTGGAGTACTTCACTGTTGGTGATTTAGTACCTACTACAATTTTTTTTCTTGAAATAAGTAAAATCGTGCTGTGCTGGCGATACCTGAAGGTGTGGAAGTAATGTAAAATTAAAATCAAAAGTAGAAGTAGCAAAAAAGAAAAGAAGAGAAAAAGATGAAGACCCTTTAATCCCCTAAAAGATGATAGAAGTTCCTCTTATAAAGGTTCTGAGAAACAAAAGATGATCATTAAGCTTGTATGAACAGGGAGGGATAGAAGAAATAATATCTATATAAAAAAAACTTACATCAGGGAACACAAATACAAACACAGGAACATGTACACAAACATAAAAAGGAAAACGGCCACAATAAAAAATGAAAATTAAATGTAACGTTTCGAGTTCCTCATCAGACGAAAGATTGACCGAAATGCGTGCGTCCTTAATTATTCGTCTGATGAGGAATTCGTGAAGACTTCATATCTTGCTGTGGCTGTTTTCCTTTACATCAGAGAGTAGAAGAATTATGCATGATTTATAAAATAGAACGGCTTTGACTTCTGCATTATTGAAGAATGAAAGATTAGTGGAACCCCTTCTTATGTAGGAGCAATGTTCATGACTTGGAAGGAATGAATCGCTCGTGAAGTTGTGAAAGGTGTCCTGTGTTTTCGACGTTAATGTATACTGGAAGAAGTGATAGAGCGGTAGTCTTTCTGTCTGGAAAGTATTACATTTGATATTGCGACATAAGCAAAGGAAAAAGAAATGTATAAATTCAATGCAAGACTCACTTCTCCTGAGATTCTTGGTCAGTAACGGTAAGGTATTCTTCCTCGCAGTCGGAGAGATCGAATTGCCTGCAAAGTAACTGTAGCTCCGCATTACCTCTTGGCTGCACGCGCGGAGGGGAAGAGAGGACAAGAATGATCAAATAGGAAGAGAAGACAAGGATTATCAAACAGGAGGAAAAGATAAGAATTATCAATTAGCGCCAGAAAGAAAAATGCTCAGCCAAACAACACTTTAGATCAGTGGTCCCTAAACTTTTTTCTGGTCGTTCCCCACTTTTCGTACGTGAGCCTTGTCCATGGCCCACTGCCGCCATAACCCATGACTACGGCGGCTGCTTGCATTAGGTCCATATAAAAACCACTTTGGCAAATCCTGTGATTTTATTGATTCCATTTGTTTTTTCTCTTGTTAAGAATTTGTAAAGAAATCTGTTGTTTGTCTTTGCTGAATCTCATATATAATTATTGAAATGGTTACATAATACTTACAAAAACTAATAATAAAATAAAATAAATAAAACACACCTTCGAAAACCTCAGCTGCTACGATTAAATCATTTACTCCCCTATAAACATAATCAGATAATGAAAGGTATTTGCACAGACATAAAAGGGATGTCTTACCCATGCGAATGGCAGCAAGGGATTACACAAATCTGTACGTAAGTTCTCTCCACTGGTAGCCTAACCTCCTTTGGATTTATATATATATATATATATATATATATATATATATATATATATATATATATATATATATATATATATATATATATATATATATATATATATATATATATATATATATATATATATATATATACATATACATCCTCAGACTTTGGCCTATATACATTTCCAAAGATTATGGCCTATATACGTATCCTCAGACTATGGCCTCTGTATATATATCCTCTGATTATGTCCCCCTTCATTCAGCGCTGTGGCCCCCAGTTTGGGAACCATTGCTTTATATAAAGAAGTTCCTGCACACTAACTCTTGGCTGTACAAGAGGAGGATGAGAAGAACGGGTGTTATCAAATAGCATATAAAAACTGTAACAGCAAACAACACAATCGATAGATAAGATAAAAGAGGAGGAATGGCAAATCTCTTTAAACATACCGATTATCTCCCCATTCCCCGAAAAAAATCGCAACTGTTTCAAAGATTACAGTAACAAGGTGAAGCAAAATTACTGCACTCACACGTACGCACACATAATAATAATAATAATAATAATAATAATAACAATAATAATAATAATAATAATAAATGAATAAATAAAATAAATTAAAAATAAAAGATAAAAAAAAATCAGCCAAAACCCACCTCAAAGAAAGCTTCGCAAAAGTCCTCATTTCCTTTGACTCGGAAGGTCCTTTTTGCTCCTCTCTTCAGCTTGTAAGTTTTCCCGCACTTTGCTGTTTTGCATTTCAGTTCGGTGGGTAAAAAAGACTTTGTAAATGGTAATGCTTATTTTTTCGCGTATGTTTGAATAAAGATTCGTAATATCCTTTTTAGAATTTTATTGTTGTTATTACTTTTATTGAAAATCGTTTGTTTTTGATAGCATTTCATGTATAAATATCATCATATATCCACATTTATGTTCGTGTGTGTGTGCGTGTCCGTGTGCGTGTGCATGTGCATGCGCGTGTGTGTATGTGTCAGTGTGCATGTGTGTGTACATTGGGATGCATATCATCGCATATTTCCAATCCTCAACTCTCTTACCTTTCCCGTTCCTCTCCATCGAGCCCTTTCCTCCTCGCTCTCTCCCCGACAGCATCCCATACTTCCTCAGGCACAGTGTCAATGTCCTCCAGGAGAAGACGGGGCTCTGGTTGCGACATTTGTTCAGGATTCTGTCGAGGGCTGATGACTCACTGAGCTCCTGCGACTGGAATTTCGTGACATTTTAAATGAACATTTCACTTAATTCCTAAATTACTTTTTAATGCATTTTTTTTTTCTTTCTTTCTTGTTTCAGGTTGATAGAAATTCACAAGTTTTGTTCCTCTAGCTATGGTATTTATTGTGATTTATGTCCCGTTGGAATCTGCCTTGACATCGTTATAATGAATAAATCGATGATAAAGGAAAGTATTTTGTGTGTAACATCCCCATAGATTGAGACACACACACACACAAACACTATATATGAAGGGCATCTTATATGCAATGCACTGTACACAAACACCGAATTTATTGGCATCCACACCTAATGCACAAGTAACAAACCCACCTTGTCCTCAGTGCTTCTAGGTTCTATATAAATTTTCTTTCCAGAAATGTGGCTTTTCCCTTGACTCGGAGAAAGCGATGCGAAGCCTACTAGCAGAAGCAACACTTCCCACATTTCGTGTTTCAGACGATTTTTTTCTACTCTTCGTAGTTTTGTATCTTTCTATAATTGGCTTCTTCTTTGGTCGTTTAGCGCAAACTTGAGTGAAATCATGTTAACACCTACCTTAATAATGAAAATATTTTGGCATTATGGCATCAGTATTGAAAGTATGCGAAAAAAATAGTCTGACTTCGTAGTAGACACCTATAGATGCAAAGCCTATTAATTAATTAATCTGATTAGGTTAAAGTTACAGTATTTACTGTTGACTATTGCAATTTGTATTTTTACCACAGGAAGATTGGAAAATATAAATCAATATTCACACGAGACACTTGCTTCACCTCGCAATTTAAACCCATAACATCAAATTGTCCATCAACTTGTGAGAGAGAGAAAGAGACAGACAGAGACAGGTGAAGGAACAATCATATATCATATATTGTGCTATTAATCATAAAAAAACAGCAGTACGGTAGTATTCTCAGAGTCTGAGTACACATATAATATTCTCTGAAAATGAATTACCACATTTTACATCGAGGCATGAGTAATACAGTAATATGATGATTGGGATGGAGAATAGTATGATGATTATCATCTCTTTTAGTAAAACGTATATACATACGTGCAGTTATGGTATGCATTTATATGTATGTATGTATGTGTGTGTGTGTGTGTGTGTGTGTGTGTGTGTGTGTGTGTGTGTGTGTGTGTGTGTGTGTGTGTGTGTGTGTGTGTGTGTGTGTGTGACAAAGCCCCGCCTGTGTATTTTGCACGACGGAGAATCCCCCTCCCGCATATGCTGTCTTTTACAACACTTATGAGAACTTTCTTGGGCGCCATAGAGCAATATGAACATTTTGACTGAATCCTATCTCACCTACAAAAGCTGTGACTGAATTTTATTTCACTTACAGTACCTGCATATAATATATCTTTCTCACATATCAATACACTGAAATCTTTCCATAAAGTGTTCTTGTCCAATAGTTATTGACATCATTGCACTGTTTAAAACTAGTAATAACCGACTCTGAAAAGATGACTCACTGAACGGGGCCACAGAATGAAAAAGGTTGGACATCACTAGCATAGGCCACACCAACGAACAGAAACGATGGTAACGAAGAAAGTTTTAGAAGGTACTCAGTACTGAATATTTACACACAATACTGACCCCAAACTTTCAACATAATTTCCATTATGAGCGCCAATAATTCATTACAAGTATCGATCAGTAACGAATGTGCACCAAAAAAACAGATTCACCTAACGGTTTACACCACACCAATATACTGAAAGGAACGTAGTATACAG